AAAAGGGCCTTGGTGGCCCCCAGGCCAGCAAGACCACTAACAGGGTTCCTGTGGACCCACACAGGTGCAAGGAGCCACAAACAACTGAAAAAAAGAGCCACTCAGAGGCCAGTGAGTCATTGCAAGGGACCATGCATGTCCTGTCCCATGGGAAGTGTTTGGGGTATGGGCAGTGGGGGAGATGGGCCCACCAGGAGAACACTGGGGCACAGCATGGACAGCTGATCTACCCTCCAATCAGCACAGGCCCACTCTGTGTAGACTGGTCAGGAATATACAACTGCAAGGAGTGCAGTTTGCTGAAAAGACTCAGATCCAGACCAAAATTTCTACACAACCCAAGTGTACCAGAACTCATGAGACCCGGAAGTACCTACAAAGTCAACCATTAAAGCTTGAGCTGCACAGAAAGCCTTCCACAGGGAATCAGCAACAAAGCAGCAATTTAGCTCAACCANCCAGGTCCTGGGCAGCACATTGTGCTGAATGTTGTGGCAACAGGGAATAGAACCTCAGCGAGTAGAACACAGGGGAATCTCGGGCTCTAGAACTTTGAATCGTTTGATACTGCATTAATTTGCGTTACAAGTGAAAGAAGCATTCATAAGAGGCAGTTAAAATGAGAAAATTCCAAGAAAACGATTCCAAACATTTTTCTTAAAATTTTCAGCTTCTCCTTTCACTGTTGGTTGAAGCTTCTGTACAGTGTTTAAAGAGCTCATAGCTGTTTTCTGAAAGGTTAAACAATGTAAAGTAACTCCAAAAATTTGTTAAGTAATCCCCAAAGTTTGATATTATTGTAAGTTGAAAGATTCCCTTTAAATAGAATGAACAAATGAAAAATATATTCCTGGTTTTCCTTAATATCATCACTTGTTTAAAATAAAAAAGTCAGATTGGCCTCCAGTCAAGATGGTGGGATAGATGGTACCCAGGGTAACTCTCTCCCACAAACGAACCAATTTACAACTATTAAAAAGCAATGACAGCCAAGCTGGACACGCTAGAGCTCAGGCGAAGAAGAGGAGAGACCTATGGAGTTCATGAAGGCAGGAGAAGCCACAAGGAGAGAAAGAAAGGATCGCTCCCACCATTTCAAATCCTGGCCACTGCAAGGCTGGAGCTGATGAGCACACAGAGCAAGAGCTAGCAAAAGCCACAGCTGTGCCCTTCATATGAAGTTGCTTGGAGGCTGCAGGGGAGAAAAGGGCCTTGGTGGCCCCCAGGCCAGCAAGACCACTAACAGGGTTCCTGTGGACCCACACAGGTGCAAGGAGCCACAAACAACTGAAAAAAAGAGCCACTCAGAGGCCAGTGAGTCATTGCAAGGG